CTCGTTCGCGCCCGTGGTGGCCCCATATGCATGCCCTTCGTGGCCCCGCTGTCGCCCTTCGTGGCCCCCTCGCTGCCCTTCGTGTCCCCGTTGCTGCCCTCAGTGGCCCCGTCCGTACCCTCCGCGGCCCAACATACGTAGGCCCTTAGTGGCCCCCGCTCGTTCGCGCCCGTTGTGGCCCCATGTGCATGCCCTTCGTGGCCCCGCTGTCGCCGTTGGTGGCCCCCTCATTGTCCTACGTGGCCCAGGTGCAGGGTCGGGTCGACGGTCCGTGGCCGCCCCGCCGATCAGCGCTGCCGCTGGCCAGGCCGACGGTCCGCGGCCGCCCCGCCGCTTGCCGGGGCCCGGCCTGCAGGGAAGAAAGGTATACCCCCCAAAAGGGGTTCGATCGAAGACGAAAAGGGCGGGTTTCGATGGTTTGGGAAATACGCGTTATTGGACACTCGAGCAGATAAGGGCGAACAGTCTTAAGATTATTGTTGTTGTTGTTGCTCCTGCTTTTGTTGTTTTTGTTTTTGTAGTTGTTGTTGCTGCTGCTGTTGTTGTTACTGCTGTTGCTGTTGCTGTTGCTGTTGCTGCTGCTGCTGCTGCTGCTGTTGTTGTTGTTGTTGTTGTTGTTGTTGTTGTTGTTGTTGTTGTTGTTGTTGAAATGTCATTTCCAGAGAAACGGTATTGTCGATCTCCCCCTTCTGGTAACGATTGCATTTTTGCAATTGACGTGCCCCCCTCGGGGTTCGCACCCAGTTTTTTCTCAGGGAAGGCTTGGTGTCACCAAGCTGCGCCATCGGCCCCCGAGTTGCAATCAGAACGGCTCCCGCTGGATACTTTCTCACAATTTATTGCAAAACATCGCTTCCTCGCGTGGGACTTCCTCACAATGTATGCAGGAATCGCGCTCCCGCGTGGGATTTTCTTGCAATTTTATTCAGACGGCGCGCCTTCGACACGCAGGAATCACGCTCTTGCTGTGGATTTCCCCACGATGCATTTGGGAATCGCGCTATCGCTCGAGCTTTCCTCGCGATTCATGCAGTACTCACGCTTCAGCAACACGCCTTCTCGACCTGGCCGCCTGGGCCCGCCTTCCTGGCCCGCCCGTTTGGGTCTATTCGCCCGATGGGCCCGTTTGTTTCTGCCACTTGCATTCTGCTCCTAGCTCACCCTCCTCCTAATACCGTGCTCCACCCTCCTCCCTCCTTATTCCATCCGTCCCAGGGGGTGCGCCAATTCCGTGCGGCATGTAAGGAAGATACACCCGAGAGGGGGAAGGATCGAAGACGAAGAGGGCGGTCTCGAGGGTGTGGGATATAGGTATTAAGAACACGCGAGCAGGTAAGAGCGACCGGTCTTGACATGATTGTTGTTGTTGTTGTTGCTGCTATTGTTGTTGTTGCTGTTGTTGTTGTTGTTGTTGTTGTTGTTGTTGTTGTTGTGAAATATTAGTTCTTTTAGAACAAGTATTGTTGATCCCCTCTCTGGTAACTATGGTTTGTCTCAAGTGGAAGTGAGGTGCCACCAAACTGTGCTGCAGGTCCCCGAGTTACAATAACAACAACATCAACAACAACATCAACAACAACAACAACAACATCTACAACAACAACAGCAGCAACAGCAGCAGCAACAACAATAGCAGCAGCAACAATAACAATAGCTGCAACAACAACAACAGCAGCAGCAACAACAATAATTCCCCAATCAGAGCTTGCCTCTGTAGGGGTCCTAGCGGATATAAAGCTGAGGTGAGGTGAGCGGCCGATTTCGGTGGCCGGGGCCGGGTGCCCGGGTGCCCGGGGGTTCCCGGGGGTGCCCGGGTGCCCAGGTGTGTGGCCGATTTCGGTGGCCGGGGCCGGGTGCCCGGGTGCCCCGGGGTGCCCGGGGGTGCCCGGGTGCCCGGGGTGCCCAGAAGTGCCAGGGGGTGCCTAGACCAATAGCCCTATATCCCTATAGCCCAATAGCCCAATCGCCATATATCCCTATAGCACTATAACCCTGTAGCCCCATAGCCGTACCTTTACGACCACCCTTCGGGTGATAAGGAGGTTCGGGGGGGGGGAACCAACGTCTCACTCGATCGGTCTCACTATCGATCTCTATCGATCTCACTATCGGTCTCGCTCGATCGATCTCACTCGATCGATCTCACAATCGATCTCACTCGATCTATCTCATTCGATCGATCTCACAATTGATCTCACAATCGATCTCACAATCGATCACACAATCGATCTCACATTCGGTCTCAATATCGATCTCACTATCGATATCACAATCGCTCTCACAATCAACGTCATCATCATCATCATCATCATCATCAACATCATCAACATCAACATCATCACCAACATCGTCATCATCATGAGGGCACCGTCATCATCATCATCATCATCATCATCATCATCATCATCATCATAAACATCATCATCAACGTCAGCATCATCATCGGGACAACATCATCATCATCATCATCATCATCATCATCATCATCATCATCATCATC